TTTTTTTTTTTTTTTTTTTTTTTTTTTTTTTTTGGCAGAAATGGTCCATAACTTTTTATATTTTTAGTGGTTTAGATTTTTGACAAAAATTTGTCATATTTGCAATTTAGTCCCTAATGCTCCGTCTTTATTTCTATATGGTAACATCTCCACCGCGACTGCTTTGAAACTTTGACCACATTCTCGATTCTTCTTCGGTTTTTGTGGCCGTACTATCTCAGATAAACATCCACATTTTCTTCCTTTTTTTATCTAAACATTATCATATTTTGTGGGTATTGTTGCTCTGTGAGAGTCGTCCTCAAATTCCTGTCGGTTTGGAGAAATAATCCTCTTTGCTTCCCCCAAATTCTTACATCGACTCAAATAACAGATGAAAGATCGATACAGGGAAAAAGAAGCAACAGGTCACGTGTCTGCGTCCTGTGTTCAATCCATCGGAAGGAAGGCAGTTGGAGGCTGCTTGCTCGCCGTTGATAATGTCAGCGTACCCTACTACGGTGCTACGACTCCGATCGCCTCCCACCGCTTCCAATCGGATTCAAACAACATATCTTCCACCGTCTTCCACAGCGTATTACCCTCCATGACGTTCTCAGATTAAGAGAGACGCTATCTAACGGAGATACTTCCTGAGCTGCTTGCAGATGTCTACCGATTATCACGGCAGTTGAAGTTTGAAATACTGCTTGCAGATGTCTACCGATGTCGACATTTTGTAGACTTCACATCGGATCCCCTGTCGGCCTGCCACCACTTTTGCCCCTGGTAATAATTTATTTATTTATTTATTGATGATTCGGTGGTGTTTTCACCCTTTTCTAGATCCATATTTAGGTATAAATGAGCAGTCAAAATTCATTAACTAGCTTTTGTAGTTTTAAGTGAAGTAGTTAGATAGTTAGATTCGCCACTTGAAATCATGGATAAAGCCTTGGAGAAATATGGCAATGACATTGCTATTGGTTTCAGGTAATCAATCATACACAATATCTTTTTGCTCCGGAAAATTCTCTTACTTCTTCTCTCTTTAGAGTACAGTTTATGTGAGACTTTAGGTTAAATTGGCAATGAGAAATCAACTGAGAAAACTTTTATCAACTTTAACTTTATATTTTTTCTGGGAGCAAGTATGTGAGTCGTTATATACTGTAGCTCTTATCGAGGGGAAATGGTGAAAGAAGTGGACAAGTTTCTTGGTAATTACAGATAAAAATTAAAATTGTTATAATCCTATTTGGGTTTTAATGACCTTTTTTTGTTAAAGCAAACATATATTTTGTAGATAGACTTTCACTTGCTATAATTGAATAAATTTTCCAAAGTACAATGTTGCAATAGGAAGCAATGGAAGCATGTTGTTATTTATTGCATTAACACATTTTTTCCCACTTGTAGGCTGAAGGTTTTTTTTTTGGATCAATGTAAACATCCAGGAAGAACATTTAACGGATCAGTGGCCTGGTCCGGTTAAAGTATGTTGTTCTTTTGATCTAAGAAAATGTTCTCCTTTTGAACATATTTACTTTTAACAATTCACCAACATACTTTACAAAGGAATAAACATATTTGACTATTATGTATTTGTAAATGAGCGAATTGTAGAGAATAGCAACATACTTTACTGGTGTTAACCAAACCCCGCGGAGCGGGGTTTCACACCTAGTTATATGATGAGTTGTAATGTCGCAACGGTGGTCGCCGGTGAAACGAGATCGGTAAACAACTGAGAGTGAAGGTCGGCGATGAAAGCGTCTGTCTCGATGAGCTGCTGTCGGAGGTCAGAATACTCTGATTCTAAATCTGAAAACTGGATTTAGTGTTCTGGTGAAACAAGATTAGGAAACGAGATTTTGTGGTCAGTGAAACGGGATCAGTGAAGGTTCCGGAAGAGAAGAGGTGGAGGAGGTGGTTTCTGACGGTCGGAGTTGTAGAAAGAGTAAATAAGCGACTGTACGGTGTTTCCGACGACGTTCTGGTGGTTACGATGATGATTCGGTGGTTCCTAAGGCGGTCCGGTGATAATGATGGTGGTCGAGATTTACCTTCAAGATGAGAGAGAGAGAGTGTGTGTGTGTGTGAGAGAGAGAGAGTATCATTTTTATAAAAACAATATTTATAAAATCAAAAAAGATATAATCTATTAACAATTTTTAAATTTTAAACTTTTGAAAATAACTAGATGAGGAACCTCCAGTTGCGGGGATGGATTTAGACAGCTCCGATCATTTTGGCATGTTTGATACATTTATTTTCATTTGGGTTGTATGGATAATGTTTTGAAATACTATTTTATTAAATTTAAAATGAAATTTTTCGATCATGAATTTGAGGGGTCAGATGTGAGATTTTTTTTCGGTTTATTCTTTGTAAATATTCTTCCATGAACTATTTGTTTATTCACACAACACACAAATAACAGACAAATAAAAAATACCAATGTACTTTGGAAAACTGTATATACTTTCTCTAAAAACCACTATCTCGTTACCCATTCAAATAGCTTTAATAAGATTACTAAAAAATCAACCTTCTACTGAATTTGAACTTTAACCTGGAATGTCCAATGTCATCTGGACTTCCACTGTTGAATTCCTGTATTATTATTATTATTTAAGTACTAAAAACATTTAACTACATATATTACCAAGTCAATAACTCTATTACCACAAAATTGGTTGCTTGTTCTTGCTTATGTGTTGGTGTTCTTGTACAGGATACACGACTGTCATGGAAAGCTAAAATAACTGTAAGGAGCAAAATAAAACATAAAATGCATGTACAAAAAAAAGAATGGAAGGATAATAGATAGGAAAATAGAAAATGCATGAATGCAGGTAGAAAACCCTAGATAGGAAAAGAAAACAAATATGGCCAAATGTTGGTAACTCTAGTGAAATCCCTAAATACCGAAGTGGATTAAACTCACAACACAGCATAGAATATTGGCTCACAATCGATCTTTTATCATCAATCACTCAAAAGAATACCAACCCAAGAACGAAAGTAGAAAAGACAGGTAATCGATAATCGTTTACCTATAGCAACGCACACCAAGAAGAAGAAGAAGAAGAAGAAGAAGAAGACGATGAGAGCCATCTTCAATTCGATCGAGAAAAGCTCCTGAAAATCCCAACTGAGAAGAAGCAAAACGGATTAGGCGAATGATGGTATTTCGTTGCTTAGTCAAGAACACAAACCAGGTCCGATAAAGTTTTGAGTAGAACTTGTGAGAAACCTTTCAATTGAAGATAATTAACTATTAAAAGTTACATAAATGTTTAAATTTACAGTCTTGCCCCTGCTTTATATTGCAACAATATCACATGACACATATAACGATCTTTGTTCCATTTCATATAGAAAGTTTTGAACAAACTTGTTTTAAAAATATAAATTTCAAATCTGAAAATGGTAATATAATATTTCAAGAGTTATGTCATACAGAAGGAGCAGACTTGTTGAAAACCAGTCACCCCTTTATCAGTTCTTCCAACAACTACAACATTGGCTTCAAGAGGAAGACCTTTATCCCTCAGTAATGCAGCTTTCCTTTCATCAACAAACTTCCCAAGTGACTTTTCAATCACCCTGAGTTCAAAACTCATCAAAAAATATGAAGTTGAAAATAACGAATTACTTATAAATGATTGATGTTTGAGTGCACAAAAAGCATAAGTTAACTCATTCTTTTTTCGCATCAAGTCAAAAAAAGAATCATATATCTATTTGGATTAGATTAAGTCAAAAAGAAACAAACAGTAACACTTACTCTTGAACAGTATTCAACTCTGGTTGCTTTTTCCATCCATCAAAGGATCCCCCATGATATGAAACAACTATCTTATAATTCATTCGAGCCCACCTTCCAGCTCGTTTTTTGTGATGGAGTAATAACATATTCAGATTCATCAGAAGGGTGTATACCAGTATCATCAGGAATGTCATGTGTCTGAAAAGATATTGTTCATCATAAGTTTATGAAAGAGTTGAATTGTTGATTATATAGATTGGGTGAATTGCAGAATCAAAAGGTAATATACTTTAATAGCAATATGTAACAAATAAAGTATCAAACACAAACCTTGGCTTCAAACAACAGAAGGAATGTAATCTGACCATTAACTACATCTGAGTAAAAGTTGATTAGATTTTCCCATGGTCTTGCATACATCAACACATAAGATTCCCTACAAAAGCAAGGAAAGGAATATCATTAGACATTACAAATTGGGTAAATTGACTATAGGAATTAATGCGACATGTTTGTTTTTTGGTAAAGAAAGTAAAAGAAATTGCAAAAAAAAAAAAGATAGATAGATGTAATTCAAAGTACATTGCTATTTAGGGCATTTAACTCCTAAAAATAGATGATGAACCGAGAAAAATATGTGTAAATTCAAAGTACATTGTTATTTAGGGCATTTAACTCCTAAAAATAGATGACAAACCTAATGACAATGTAGTTAGTTTCATTAAAAAAAATTCAAAAAAAAAAAAAAAACTTGTAAATTGGAGGTACATTGCTATTTACTGCATTTACCACCTGAATGTGGAAAATGTACCAAATGACAATGTACTTTGGTTTTTGGCAAAAGAAATCAAAAGAAATTGCAAAAAAGGGAAAAAGTAGATGTAAATTCAAACCACATTGTTATTAAGTGCATGTAACTCCTAAGAATGGATGATGCGCCTAATGGTAGTGAGGTTAGTTATTTGGAAGAAAATCAAAAGTAAATAAAAAAACGGGAAAGAAATGAAAGGTGAAAGTACATTGCTATTTACTGCATAACAATATTATGTTACAAATTGACTTTGAAAACCAACTTTGTTACTACGCATTCACTTTGCTCATTTACACAGCACAGTTTTGCATTTACCAACTGTATGACTTTTTCACTCACTTCTTCTTAGTGTTGAAGATATTTTACCGTTTTCCTAATTATGTGATCCAAACCTGACAAAAAAAAAAAACAAAATCATCAGTATCATTAATAAATTAAATTAAAGTAAACTCATATTTGACCAAGTTAACCTCAAAACCCCAAATGATTGAAGTAGTAGGCTAGTAAGCCTATAATAACACAAACATGCAGACACATCAAAATTAATGGTTTTGTAACGTATATTGCTATATGTTCCTTCTTTTGGAGAATCATAACAATGTTTGTCCTTCTTCCATGTTCAAATGACTATATTACCCTTCATTTAACTTTTTTTTATATTATTTTTATCAAATTATTACACAACAAAATCTGGAATGTATACATACTTAAAAAAACTCATACACCATGTCAACTTCATTATATTATATTAAGATTACAATTATTCAATATCATAAAATAACTCTCATTTCTGTTAATATGTGCATAAATAGCATCATATAAGGGTTAAATCCAGGCATTAATAGATGATTACATGGAAGATTTATAAGAATCCTTGCGGTTAATCAAAAGTACCTGGTTCTGAGCAAGGCTATCGACTCTGTAGGATCCTGGAATCTGAGTGCACCACCCTATAACCAATAACTAAGAACGACAAATGAGATTGAATATCGAAAATTTGTAGAACATGAATGTTACCTTTGATGACTGCAAGAATTCCAAAAAATGTAAAGAATAAGAACAATTAATATACAATCTAACAACATTAGTTTCTAAATATGTAGGCAATCATCTCAAATGACAAACAATCCTAAAAGAAAAGTATAAATTTTATGGATTCACTTGTAGCAAGAAAAAGAAATAAAAGCTTACCGTCAAAATTTCAATTATACCCTTGCCCCCAAATCGAAATTTTCAAACGCAACTCGGATCTGGTTCAAGACGAAAATAAAAACTAATAGTTGAAAATTTTTCAACATTATAATCGGGTTGACCCATGACCAGTATGGACCGGTTAGCCATCGAATGATTAAAATAAAAAGCATTGAACTCCATTGAGAAATCGTAGCTAACGCTAAATGATCACTAAATACTCAATTACCCTTGGAACAAAATCTTTATTGACCTTTATTCTAAAATGGACAAACATAGTGAAAGAGTGAAATGGCCCTTACAAGAATCTTTATGAATTGCTCAGAATTATCACGTTCTAAATCATTAATTGACCTTACTATATGTTGAAAAGCAGTTGTCACTTCTCGATGATTAAAGTCAATGGTTCAACACATCAAATTTTACTTGAACTTATACAATGCCTTGAAACTGAAGAAAATTAACAGCTCAGAACCTACCTTGAATCAGAAAATTCCATTAGTCCTAACACCTACAGTGTACTACAGAATACAAAACAATAGTCATTTGCATAATATCCCAACTTATAAAGTAAAGGCAAAAACGGGCTTTGAAAGGCTACTGATTTCAACCAATTTAACCAATACATAACAGTCTTGTTTACATAAATATATTACACAATTAGAGTATGATTAGGTATAAGCTGAAACATATCCTAGGCTTTCCAAGGTTCCCGAACTCACCCAGTCCTCAGCTACTGAAAGTTTCCCAGTAATGTAAACTAGCTACCTCATGAATATAGCCACATGCAACAGAGATCAGATAATCATTCGAGTAAAAGACCCATCCCTAGAACAGTTGGACTCAAACAAGAGCTGTGCAATAGGGTCAAACAACAAACAACATTCAGAAAATGGAAACTCTAACCATCATATTCCAATCAAACCATTCTATCCTCTAATCAGGAATCTGTACATGCAATTCAAAGGCTCATAAAATCAGGCATAAACTAAACAGGTTATCCTATCACTGACTGATCAGTACTATCATGCAGCTCATCAAGCACATACAGCAGGCATATAAGGCATCTTCCTAGATCCTTTGCCCTAATCTAGCATGCCGTTCTCATAATCATATCATAACATAACATATCATAACATGTATGGGTATCTTGGGGAAAACTTACTTGAGCTCGGCTGATTGCACGCATCACACACCTTGTTCTTTTCAAAGTTATTTTCTCTTTTCAAACTTCGTTTTATAAAATGATTTTACTTTTGAAAAATTTCCATACCAAGTCCTTAGTTTGAGTCCAGACACACCCGAGAGTATGTCCGAATCCCTTAAACCAAGGTTTTGATACCAACTTGTAACATCCCAAAAATACAGGCCAAAAATTTCGTTTTAATTAAGTTATTATAAAACCAACAGTATAAGAAAACATCCATAATAACATATCATGTCAAAACCAGTGCGTCAATAATCAAAGCATGTCATCATAGAACCATATCATAGTATAATCCCAAAGATCTCATGTGCAGAAAACATAGTGTGATGTGTTGCGATCGAACCGACTCCTTTCCTTTGAAAACGAAGAAACTGAAACCAAAACTGAAAAACGTAAGCACGAAGCTTAGTGAGTTCCCCCATCATACCACATACCATATGAACACATAATGCCTAGCATATCTGGGTGTTGGCCTCCCCTTCGGTATCTTTCAACTGGTAACTGCCTAACATATCTAGGTGCTGGCCTCCCCTTCGGTATCTTTCAACTGGTAACTGCCTAGAATATGTGGGTGCTGGCCTCCCCTTCGGTATCTTTCAACCGGTAACTGCCTAGCATATCTGGGTGCCGGCCACCCCTTTGGTATCTTTCAACCGGTAACTGCCTAGCATATCTGGGTGCTGGCCTCCCCTTCGGTATCTTTCAACCGATAACTAGGGACTATTTCACCCCTACTACTACCACATAATAACATATCATAAACTGTCTAACGTAATTGGGTACTAACTGTTGGATTAGTGTCTAAGCCCGTAACTATATTTGGTAAGTACTTGACCCGGTTGTGCATGGTCCT